AAGAGAGAAGCGTATTTTGTTTGGCTTCACTAAAATACCACTTGGCTCCAACCAGCCCATATTTCCTGACTCAACCATGCCCTGAAGCAATGAAAGGGAAGAAGTTTTTCAAATGAGATCTGAGTTTGTGTATTTGCATTCCTTTCAGTTTTTGACTGTGTTGTTAGTCTTAGTTGGTCCAGCACTGTGAAGCTTGAGTCAATTTCCTTAATAAAACTTAACAGTAGGGAGTCTATGTTGTTCAAAATTTGCTTTGCTATGGCTAATCTGAAAAAGACCCATTTTTTGATACAGCTGTTTTTTTCATATAGTCTACATTCTCAACATGCTATTTACCCACACAGAATTTATTAATACGTGCTAAATGCTTCCATAAATAAGGGCAGGCTATTCAAGATGGTGACAGAAAAAAATGACCCAAATTAAAAAAAAAAAAAAAAGTACTAGGTCAACTGCATTACTGGCTTAAACTACTTAGGATATCCTGTGGGAAAATGATCCACTTTTCTGACATAATTGATTTGTGTGTCACAAATAGAAATGGTGAACCTAAATTTTGCATGGTAATTTTTCTATGCTTTTCTCTCTACTTTAAAGTAGAATACATTTTTCACAACTCAGCTGTGACCTGAGTAGTCCCCTTTATGGGGATAAAGCAAAGCACCAAGGAAACCTGTCCATGGTCACACAGTGGGTGGGGCAAAGGCAAAATGCATGCTAAGTAATTGTTTCTTTGTGCTGCATTCTGTTAGTGCTCTAGTGATAGGATTTTTTAAAATTTTTTATTATTATGTTAATCACCATGATAGGATTTTGATAGAGGTCTTAATCAAGATCTTTCTCCCCAAGTACGTGGCAGACTTAGAAAGCATGTGTCAACAATATGCACATTCTATTTGACTCTGAAACTGCACCCTTTGTGGGATACAAATATCACCTATTCCCCACCTACAGCCATGCCTCCAGCTGGTTAACAGTGCAAACTGTGGAGAGTACGTACAGTGTGCAGTCTGACAGTGGTGAAACGGTATTAAGGCCCAGCACTGTGAGTGGCTGTTATTGCCAACTTAATTCAATAAATACTTAAATGCTTTCCAAAATCATGTACAGCATACAGTATGCGGGGAGCGAGAGGAACATGAAAAGGAAAAGATAGGGAGCAGAAAGCAGAATGGAGACAAAAAGATATATGAAAAGGAGGGGCACCTGGGTGGCTCAGTTGTTAAGCATCTGCCTTCGGCTCAGGTCATGGTCCTGGGGTCCTGGGATCGAGCCCCGCCCCATCGGGCTCCCTGCTCGGCGGGAAGCCTGCTTCTCCCTCTCCCACTCCCCCTGCTTGTGTTCCCTCTCTCGCTGTGTCTCTCTCTGTCAAATAGATAAATAAAATCTTTAAAAAAAAAAAAAAAATGAAAAGGAGACCGAGGGGAAAGAGGTACTACTCATTGGGCTTTAGGGTCAGACAGAAAGATAAATTCAAATCCCAGCTCTATAGGTTCCCAACTATACATCTCACTTAAATCAGAACTGTTACCCAACTATATTGAAGGTGAACAACGAGATATCATTATTTACCGAATAATGAAAATCTTTATTTATAATGGTGGTTGCTGGTTTATGTGTTCTTCTATGCTTTGAATTTAAGAAAGACCATGTTTCCTCTGAGTTGCGGAGACTTCAGTATATCAGTTAGGGTTTGTTCTGGCTGCATTGTGACAGAGACCCATACAAAGTTTAATACACAAGATTTTATTCACTCACATAAAGGAGTTCAGAGGTAGACAGTCTGGGGCTCTTGAGGTGATTTCTCAAGTTGTGAGAGCCTTGGCCTCTTCCAATTTCTGCTCAACCATCTTTCATCTTTATGGTTCTGTATGGCTGCTGGAGCTCCACCAGTTACATCCTTCTCCCAGGGAGCAGAAAAGATGAAGGACAGGGGAGGGCTTGACCTTGTAAAAATCTCCTTGTAAGGAGGTTTTCCAGAAGTATCATGTGACACTCTGTTTACATCACATTGACCATAACTTAGTCTGGGCCACATACACTTACAAGGAGCTCAGGAAGTCTAGTTTCCCTAGTTCTCCATTTTTTTGAGCGTTGTGTATGGAATGTAGCAAGATGCATTGTGATCCTGGGAAAAATGTCTTAGAAGCTAAAACATATTATTAGTACTAATAATAGTAACATTTAAGAGGTCACAGGCACTATGTTAAAAAAATTTATAAGAACCATCTCATTTAACCTTCTTTTGATGTCGGTGTTATTATCCCCATTTCACAGAAAAGATATTGTGGTTTAAAAAAGTTAAGTAGTTTGCTCACGGTTATGTCACTAGTAAGTGGTGGAGGTAATGCTCAGAACCAGCCTTGTCTTTTTTTAGATCCCAACCATTTAATTACTACTTTGCCTCCCACTTCTCAAGTTTTAACTTGGTAGTTTATCCATATCTACAATGGGATGTTTTAAAAACTTCTATCCTATCTGTGGTTTTATAGTCTTTAACTCTCTAAGCTTTTCACCTAACACACACACACACACACACACACACACACACACACATACACATCTCATTTATTTTTTTAAGATCTTTAAGTATTTCTATGCTTATGTAAAAGAATATGACTTTTATTACTTGATTAGGTCATTATGAGTTGTCACTCTGTACTTTAGTCAAGATATTAGCATTTTAGAGTTTATTTACTAAGCCCCATCTTTCCCCCAGATGCAGTTCCAAAAGCTATCAGGGATAACAGGATGAGTAAGAAAGAGTCCTTGCCCTCAAGGCATTTACAGTATAATTCTTCAGAGAATTAGTTTTAGACAAGCCTCTTAATATCAAATTATACTATGACACTACATGTAAATCACAGCTGACCTAGATGTACACACCCATTTGTCCTTATAATTACAAGTGCATCATTGTTACCTCTAAATGGTTACCCATCCCTTCAAAACATTCCTAAGAAATTAGGTAAATAAGCAGTTCTATTTTAGCACTCTTTGTATTTTTCCCTTAAAAAACATGGCTTATATTATTGCTTTACTAATAAAAACTTAATTTCATAAAGATATGTGGCTGATTATGATATTTATTATTTTGAAATGTCCATTTGTAAAAATAATTTAATTTCTATGTATGACATTTTGAATAGTGGCAGAAATGATGTATAAATGTATTAGAAGCCCAAATCAAATGGGGACCAGTGTGACGTTTGGGACCAGAACCTGCCAATATAAGCCTATATAGAGTTTATCATTGGTGTTTTTTTGTTTGTTTTGTTTTGTTTTTACAAGATGAGAGAACACAGATGTTCCACCTGACCTGTTAGGAAAAAGGGAGCATTACCCAGGGATGTGAGGCTGATGGCATCATCTCCTACAAGACTTCCACTTAATTCAGTCTTTGTACCTGGAAATCAGATATTGAAAGAAGGGACTAGCCAGCATACAGTACTATATCCTGGCTAAGTGAACATAGTAAAAAATAATAATAATAAATTAATTATAATTAAAATAAATAGGAAGGAATAAAGGAAGGACTGGCAAGGATTCTCAATCAGTATATTTGTCTGCTTTGTCTTCTAGTGCATCTACTGCTTAAAGTTACTTCCTTACAAAGAAATACGTGTATTTTTTTTCCCTATTTGGGAGCTACCTACAAATTGTTTTCCCTGTTTCCTGATTATGTATATACAGAAATATTTTGTTTCATAATGGAAAGGTGATTTTTTTTTAATAGACATAAATACATCATCTAAACCTGGGATTTGCCTAGGTGTTTTCCTTCCTAGTCTTTCAGGTACTTTGTTAACTGAGCTCCATCAGTTTGAGAAGTCAGTTCTTTTTCGCTTAGATTATTGGCATATATCATGTGCCCTGACACTTGACTAATAGGTAATGTGTCTCCTGTCTCTCCTAATAGTCTCTTTTATCTTGATGACCTAATAAACTTTATCTGATCATGGAAAACTTACATTTTCTAATTGTCCTTGAGATAATGGGCTTCGTTATTCCCTAGAGCGAATTTTACTTTGAAGACTTACACCATTTGGCTCCTAATGACAGCGATAAATAGCACTGGGTGTAGAGCTTCCGAATTAAACAAAAAGAATTTTAAAAGGCTTTTCTACGTTATATGCAGTCCTTACTGCAACAGTGAGGGAAACGGTTTATGCTCATTTGTGATTTCAGTAATCAAGGATTCTGCAGTAAACACCATAGACATGATTCCTCCCTCCTTTCACAGTATGGGGGGAGAAATGTTTTTATAAGAATTCTACAGCTCAGGGAACTTAAAGTGGCTTGCCCAAAGTCATTGCAGGTGATAGAATTTGTATGGAATGTGTGATCACCAATTAAACTGGAAAGGCAAATGGGAAGGAGATTTTAAAATCTTGGAAAACTGCCACATTTTGTTGGAATGTTTTTTTCTAGATCATGGGTAGCCAGTGGAAGCTTTGGACTGGAGCTGTGATGTAATCAAAGCACTTAGAAAGAATATTCGATACTGAGGTACCAGTTAAATGAATAAGGTTGTGGAGATTTGGAACAATTGAAGACTATTAATACTTACATGTGTAAGAGAAAGCCCTGAAAAACTAGGATGGTCATCAGGCTGGGATGGGACAAATGGAGGAGACACTACTCTGGGAAAGTGGGGAGCCTGGGGGCTGACAGTGTAGGAGAAGTCAATGAGGCTGAAGTGTCAGGTGATAAGAACTTTGTAATAACCGTGGAGAGCAGTAAGAGCTTAAAGAGCACCAGTTAAGAGAAGCCCAAGTGTCCTTTCATATGGCTCCTAGCTAAGATCCTGTCTTTGATGACTGTGTCTTCGAGTATTTCCTAAAACCAGGAATAATGCTCCCCAAAGATTAAATTTATGAGAAAATGGAGCTGAGATCATTACTCGAAAGTGGGTCTTTTCCTGAACGTGTGCTATGATAGGTCAGCGAAGACAGGTGTGTGGCACGAATTGAAGACTGACTGAGGGGACTGTTTCCTAGGCATTTTTTGTCGACCACAACTCCCGCACCACCACTTTCATCGACCCCCGGCTCCCGCTCCAGAGCAGTAGACCCACGAGCGCGCTGGTTCATCGGCAGCACCTGACGAGGCAACGCAGCCACAGCGCCGGCGAGGTGAGTCCCACGCCCCCCGCCCTCGGCAAGCGCTTCGTGGAAGCCGCGGGGATGCGGTGGCTGGGGAAACGGGCAGGCTTTTTATTATTGTTTTGTTTTGTTTTGTTTTCCTAGTTTGGTTTAGAGCTTATCATTTGGAGACTGGAAAGTGTTGCAATGTTGACAGGGCTTCTCTGGAAATACACAGAGCCTAATTTACAAACTTTAAAAGACGGATATACGAGGAAAGATTGAAGAATGCAGAGAATTTTTTACATTCAGAAGTTGGTTAGAGAAAATTCTCAATGTTAGGAAATGTTCCAGAGAGGATGACGGTAAAGCCTTTTGCGTACATACCTAAGGGCAGCTTCATAGGAAAAAATAAATGTAACTTTTTTTTTTCCCACGTCGGATGGGTAATGTGCCGAGTCGTAACGAGGTTTGAGGGGGGCTCGTGTCACACAAAGGCGTGAACACCCAGTCATCACGCTTATGAACTGCAAAAGGTTCGAAATGTAACTTTTAGTGGGCGAAATGTCAGTTACATACAGGGAGGTTTTTGAAGTGAGGGTTGCTGGATTGGATTAAAATCTTCAGCCAATGCTATGGAGTGGTGGTGTCCTCACTAATATTCTTTAAAGTCACCTGAGAGTTGATTCATGTACTCTAAGAGCCCAGAGAAAATGGGCGGAATTAATCACTAACAGCTCTACCTCGCTTTAACTTTGCTGGCTTGCAGTGACCTGTGGTAACCACATGGGGGCTCTCGAATAGCCTAACCAAAAAAAAAAAGAATCACTTCCTGTTTTCCTTTTTCTTTAGTAGCTTAAATAAAAGAAGGAGTGTTTTAAGTCAACTTTTTTTCTCTTTAATACTGGCTTTATGCCTTGAATGTTTATCATTGCTTGGTATACATTGTTTCTAAAAATTTTGCTCAGGCAGAAAGAATTAAGATTCTTTTCCTACATGCCTTTTCCATGTCTATGTGCATATTATATTTTCAGTATTATATTGTAGATCAAATATTTTTGTAACCTCTCTTATAAGAAAAATTATGAATGCGATAAATAACTGGATTTTATTCATCAAAATTCTACTCTTGGAATTTCCCCTTGTGATTTACATACTTGTGTGTTTGCTGATTATAAGTGCAGACATAGAAGAGTATACTTGAGAAGCTCATATAAAAGTGATATATAAATCTATTGCAGGATGAGGTATGCACAGAAATATTTATATTTTATGAGTAGTTGATAAATCTTTACTTTGCTGCCATGGAAACCACTAGTGATGAACTGGATGATGCAAACAGCATTCATCTTAAAAGCAGAACAGACCTCTCACCTTTGGACCTTGTGTGTGATACGTACCATAATTAGGGCCCTGCCTGACTTTTATCACAAGGCCAGTGCACTTTAGCCACTTGGCCTTATCTTGACTTCACAGTATGGAGCTGGCTGCTGGGTCTGGTCGGGGCCACATGCATAAGATTTATAGCTACCTTCCTTTTTCTTTCAATTCCTCTGTCTCAGCACTTGAGTTATTTTCATGGTCTAGTAATAGCCTGTTGTGGTAGAGGGATCCTAAGGTACACATTCAAATTTAAGTGAGGATATCTCTTCGTGTTGATGGAGACTGAGCAATGCAACCGAGATAACCCCGCAAAGACTCAGCAGTCAGCCCCAGCCTTGCCAGACCAGTGATGGGAATGTGCTTTCTGGGCACTGCCTCCAGTGCTCCGCACACTTATCTGGCCTTGCCCCTGTCTTACAGTCTGGTTTGAAGAAGTGGGGTGTTGAAGAGAAGACATTTGTCTCTTCTGGGAAATAATGACGCTTGGCCACAGACTGACAAGGAGGGAAAGTATGTGTCATGTACTGAAGTGATAAATTCTGTGACTGACAAACAAGGTGTCGTTAATGATCGAATCTCCTCTGAGAGTGGCTGACTTTATTCTTCAAAGCCAATAATTCAAGAGAAACAGCGAGAAACTTCTAGTCATACACAGGAGGCTTTCCATCTACTCTCTTATCCTCATTCAGCAAATATCACAGGTAGTAGAAATGTTGGTATATCTTCCATCCAACAGAGAAATTCTTACCAAACACTGGCAGTGTAGAGACACAGTGGTTGGTGTGAAGGATACAAATAACATAGGTTTCTTTTTCTTATCAAGGAGCAAATATATGAAACTAACCGTAATACAAATGAATAAAAATATGAATGAAAACACTTTATAAAATGGTAATAATGGCAGCTGCTTAAGAAATGTAGACCAAGTGCTTTGGGAGCTCAGAGAAGGGTACATTTAAAGTCAGCCTGAACAGAAGGAAAGGCTTCATCGAGGAGGGACTCTTTGAACTACACTGTGAAGAATGAGTGAGAGTATTCTTGAGGGATGAGCAAGCAGTGTAGAGTGGGAACAGTATTTTTAGTTTTAGGGCCTTTAGAAAAACCTTCACCAAACACCTCACAGATACAATGTGATAAAATGGTTGTGAAGGATTGAATGAGTGGGATTAGAAGCTCTATTTTTAAAGTGCCAATTTATAAATCCAATATGTTATTTTGCCTTTTTTTCCCTCTTACTCTCTAATACTTCTTTTCTACTGTTGTCTGAAAAGACTTCTGTAATATGGGGAGGGGCTGCTAAAACAGAAGCTAAAGCAATGCTAGAGTTTACTGAGAAGACTAATAAAGGACATTTTTGTTGATTGACTTGTATGTATGAGTTTCTAAATCTGTAATAGGTACAATAAATAATTCAGGTTGGGGCAACCCTATTTAGCTCTTTCACACCTGCTATGATTAGCTCCCTGGTGTGGGAGGTTCAAACCAGAAAGAGCTGTTGTACTGGGTGCTCTAATAGGCGTGTAAAATTGCTCCTGAGGAGATAATACACCAACTCAGAACCCCACACGAAGCCGCTGCTCTTCAGCCTTCGCTGAGCAGGGAATTCCCTAACCTGCCTTGGCCAAAGGAAGGAATAACCTGGTACTGATACTTCCCAGGTTCCCTCTCTGATGTATTGTTGCAGGTTTTTGTTTTGTCAAAGCAGAGGTTATTCCTGGTGAACAGGTCTGCTGTTTAGCTTCTACAGCTCCAATAATTGTATGCATATGGAACTACCCCTGTACCCCTTGGTCACTGCCCTGGCCCCTCTCAAGGACATGGACGTCCCAACCCCTCCCCTCAATCCAGCCACTAAAGCAGAGCTCCTGAGAACCCTGTGTCGGCTCCTCAGCTGGCATCTTTTCTGATCAGCTGGTCCTTAAAGCTCGTTATCAAGTATTTTGAACAACTAGGCTTGGTGTGCTGATTTAAACCATTCTGGGTCTTGGTGCACAACATAAATGATACTTCTGGTTTGCAGGTAGGAGAAGATTCTCGACATACAGGCCCACCAGTTCTTCCCAGGCCATCGAGTACGTTCAATACAGTCAGTAGGCCACAGTACCAGGATATGGTTCCAGTGGGTATGTCATCCCTTTCCAGAAATCTTTATCTTCGCTTTTCATATCAGTATGAATCATGCACTCTGTCAGCCTGCTACTTTTGCCCTGTACTGAGAACTGTTTCATTATCTCTAAGAAACTGATTTGAATTGCAAAGCACTCATGTCGTATAAAATCCTATGTGATGAGATTTTTTTATGTTACTCTACCTTTTCTAGTAGAGCTATTATAATAGATTGTTGAGGTTAAAGGAAAATAAGCTATTAAGGTAAATATGTGGTCATTTCAAATGAGGCATTGGACAAGCATATATTTAGTATGTATCTAATGCTTGGGACCGAATTTAAGTACTGTGAAACTAAGTAGCCTCACAATAAGAAAGCAATGATGGCGTATTAAGGTTTTGGTAAAGAGCTATGTATTTGTAGCAAATACAAGGCAGCAAGAGACTCCAAAATAAATGAATTGGGGCAGTAGGCCTAAAGAACAACTTGAATTATTATTCACACGATGAGGTTGAAGTAGGTCAGTTTTCACACCTGGAGCTCTAAGGCAGGTGGAGTAGACAGATGGCAGGAGGCCATATGGGCTCCTGGCTTCATCTTAAATTTGAGTAGCTCTCCATTGGTCTGTTTTTACCTTAAAATTGTCACTTCTTTAAGGAAAACTTTAACATGAAATATAAAGAAATTTGACAAACACTGGACAAAAAGAAATCTTGGATCCAAGTCTAACAGTCTATTTATGCTGTTACTAATAGGATACTAAATACTGCACAGAGAACTTAAAAATCTTATAAAATTGTTACTCAAAAAGTTATCTAGTCTCTGATTGTGGATGGAATGTAAAAACTCACTGACAAAATTTCAGTTATAAAAATGTTTTCTAAAAAAATTTTTTAAAGTGTTTTCATTATTTATATATGATGAAATGTACTGATAGGTACACTTCAAGCTTGACAGTGGGATTCCATGTTAGCAGATAGTATTTTTTTTATTTTATTCACATTTAACTAAAATATGTTTGCAAAGGCAGCATGATGCAGCTGAAATTTGAACTGGCAAATGTTTAAAGCATGATATTTCTTTTGTCTGATCATTTGTTAAAGTAGGGCATGTTCCTTGATCATATTTATGAACACAAGAGTGTTGCCTGAACTAGGATTACAGATGTTTGAGAATCCAGACATTCAGTTCTGTGGTTTAAATATATTTTTCTGATTAGAAACATATAATCAAGATGAATAATATTAAGTAAGCCAATTAGTTTTCTTAACAAAGAGAAATTAATTATTAGAGCTCTTAATGAATTGTAATTAATTATTTTTAAATTTTTGTGGACATTAGCCAGACTTGACAAACATACATTTTTCTTTTGATGTTATGTACATAGTTGATAATGCCAATTGTATTGTAGCTGTTGGTATAGTTGGTTTGGTAAATAGCTTTTATTTCTGCATAATATTTGTGAATGGTTTGTTCTCTACATTTTGGTAGTAGCTGTTGCTGACAACTGTTTTTTTTTTTTTTAATTATAGTTGACACACAACGTTATATTAGTTTCCAGTGTACAACATAGTGATTCCACAATTCTATACATTACTCAGTGTATATCCCATACAAAATTATTACAGTATTATTGACTATATTCCCTATGATAGATTTTTCATCCCTGTGACTTATTTGTTTTGTGACTAGAAGTTTGCACCTCTTAATCCCCTTCACCTGTTTTGTCTGTCCTCTCGGCCCCCTCCCTCTGGCAACCATCATTTTGTTCTCTGTATTTATGAGTCTGTTTCTGATTTTGTTTGTTTTTTCATTTGTTTTGTTTTTTTAGGTACCATGTAAAAATGAAATCACACCATATTTGTCTTTGTCTAACTTATTTCACTTAGATAATACTCTCTAGGTCCATTCATTTTGTTGCAGATGGCAAGATTTCATTCTTTTTTTATTGCAGGGTAATGTACTATTATATATAGAATTATATACAGAATCACATCTTCATCCATCTCTCGATGGACACTTATGTTGCTTCCCTCTCTTGGCTATTGTAAATAATGCTGCAGTGAACAGAGGGTGCATATATTTTTTAGGATTAGTGTTTTTGTTTTGTTTTGTAAATATCTAGTGGAATTACTAGAGCATGTGATATATCTATTTTTAACTTTTTGAGGATCCCCCATACTGTTTTTCATAATAGCTGCACCAATTTACATTCCCACCAACAGTAAATAAGTGTTCCCTTTTCTCCATATCCTTGCCAACACTTGTTATTTCTTGTCTTTTTGGTACTAGCCATTCTAACAGGTGTGAGGTGATATCTCACTGTGGTTCTGATTTGGATTTCCCTGATGATTACTGATGTTGAGCATCTTTCATGTGTCTGTTGGCTATCTATATGTCTTCTTTGGAAAAATGTCTGTTCAGGTCCTCTGCCCATTTTTCAATGGGATTATTTGTGGTTTTTTTTGGTGTTGAGTTGAATGAGTTCTTTATATATTTTGGACATTAACCTCTTATTGGATATATGATTTGCAAATATGTTCTATTCAGTATACTGCCTTTTCATTTTGTTGATGTTCCCTTTGCTGTGCAAAAGCTTTTTAGTTTGATGTAGTCCCAATAGTTTATTTTTGCTTTTATTTTCCTTCATGAGGAGACATATCAGAAAAATGTTGCTAAGACGAATGTCCAAGAGATTACTGTCTTTTAGGAGTTCTATAGTTTTAGGTTTTACATTTAGGTCTTTAATCCATTTTGAGTTTATTTTTGTGTATAGTGTAAGAAAGTGGGCCAGTTTCATTGTTTTGCATGTAGTTGCCCAGTTTTCCTAGCACCATTCATTGAAGAGACTGTCTTTTCCCTATTGTACATCCTTGCCTCCTTTATTGTAGATTAAGTAACCATATTAGCATAGTTGTGTTTCTGGGCTCTCTGTTCTGCTGATGTGTGTATCTGTTTTTGTGCCTGTACCACACTGTTTTAACTACTATAGCTTTGTAGTTTAGTTTGAAATCTAGGATTGTGATACCTCTAGCTTTTTTGTTCTTTCATGAGATTGCTTTGGCTGTTATGGGTCTTTTGTGGTTCTATACAAATTTTAAGATTGTTTGTTTTAGTTCTGTAAAAAACGTTGGTGTTTTGATAGGGATTTTTTTGAATCTGTAGAGTTCTCTGAGGAGTATGTACATTTAACAGTGTTTAGACTTCCAATCCATGAGTATGGTATAGCTTTCCATTCATTTGCCTCATCTTCGGTTTTTTTCATCAATGTCTTCAGTTTTCAGAGCACTATTGTATTTTGGCAACTCTTATTCTGCCTCTTTACCTCTCTGGATGGCTGATACTTAATCAGAAGATAGTTTTCCATTTCTAACAGTTGCTTATGAGGCTTTTGGTAAGCAGTAGCTAGAAACTATCAATATCTAGAATCTTGTTAGTGATCTCATCCTGCAATTTGATAATAAATATGACTTAGCAGATGAGTTTAATTAGTGCTTAAGTCACACCTACTAGATCTAAGTCCAATAGTCATATAACAGGTAGACACAAATTGGATTTTAAGCATCTGTAGTGGCTCCAAACTATGACTTTTAGTACAAGGAATATTAACCAAAAACACTGACTTTTAAGTTTGGATTTATGTGCGTAAACCTAATAACAGATTTTTAAAGTATTGCTATAATTTCTGACTTTTTTCAGCTTACAATGACAAGATTGTTGCATTTCTGCGCCAACCCAACATCTTTGAAATTCTACAGGAGCGTCAACCTGATCTTACCAGGAATCATTCACTCAGGTAACTGCAGTATTGGTATTTGGTTCAAGTTCCATAAGCCCCAACTATTAAGTCGTCAGGAACACTGATAATCATCTTGGACATTTACTCTTTCTTTCTGGCAGTCTGAACAAAGACATCTTGTGCACAAAGACTTTGTCATCAACAACCAGGTCATTGTAGTCCTGACTTTTCTCTATTAAGTATGAAGACTGAATAAGATTGACTACTAAAGAACCTAGAACCACCCTCTTTAAAGAAGGAATATGAAAAAGAAATAAAAATTCATAGCCAAGAATACATCCTTGATGTGCAGATTGTAATGAAAATAATAAGACACTAACCTTTTTGAGTGTAGCTCGAGTAAACAAAAGTAAAAGAGTTCACTGAATTGAGACTTATAAAATCCTAGGCTCAGTATTCACATTTTTTCATAATATAAACACAGTGGAACCCAAGGAGGGAATCTGATCCTCTTCACCATCCAGTATTCCTATGCATGAACCCACCCTTCTAAACAGTTCTTCAATGCATCACACTTAAGTCCAGTTTTACTTTCCTGAATACATGCTGTTCCTGTTCCCTGGCAAGTTTTTCTTTTGTGCATTTGGCAAGGAAGGTCTTTCCTTTAAAACTCACTGCAAGCTATCCCTCCTTTAAGCCTCTCAGCTGCACTGTGAGCTCTTGCTCTCAAGATCTAGGCTAGTATTTCTCAACCTCAGTGTTGTAGGTATCAGTGGAGATGGAAAAAGATGTGAGTTTTTGCTGAAAATTTGACATAACTCAAAGCTCATTTGGTTCATATGCCACCTTTACTGGTAGAAATGTTTGTCCAGTGGTGTCATCTTGGCTCACAGCCATGATTCTCCAGTACTACTCAGTTGTACCAAAATTTTCATCAGCATCACCTGGGAAGCTTTGTAAAGTGTAAAATGCCAGGTCTTCTCTCCCCCAACCCTTCTCCCTTCTCTGAATTTATACCCCCTATCCTCCTATACCCTGTCCAGTTATTTAATTCAGGAGGTCTAGGGGAGAACTCAAGCATTTAATATCTTACAACGTCTCCGTCTAATTCCAATGACACATCCAGGTGTAATAACTTATGTTCTAGACACTAATTGATAATTAATTATGTAGTGTATCACACTGTCCTTTATATGACTTTTGTGCTGTAATTTGACTTTTCAAGTCCTTATGCTTTATTTTCCAACTAGATTATAAGTTCCTTACAAATATGGATCTTATTCAACTCATTATGTCTCCTCCTTACTGCTTAAATATCAAGAATAGTACTTTGCATACAGTGAATTGTATATACATACATATATACACAGATATAGAGATGTTTTTGTTGATTTGAAAATAAATTACCAATTCTTATTATGTTCTTATTCTCTCGTATCTTTTATCTTATTGAGGTACAATTGATATACAATATTATATTAGTTTCAGGCATTTAACATAATGATTCAATATTTGTATATATTGTGAAATGATCATCCCAATAAGTCTAGTGAAGATCCATCACTACACATTGTTACAGGATTTTTTTTTTTATGACGAAAACTTTTAAGATCTCATAGCAACTTCCACATATGTAATACAGTATTAACTACAGTTGCCACGCTGTACATTACATCCCCATGACTTATTTATTTTATAGCTGGAAGTTTATATGTTATGAACCCCTCTCCCCATTTTGCCCACTCCCCATCTCCTGTCAGTCTCTCATAGCTTTAAAAATTGTCATTACCTTCTAAAGTTTCTAAAGGCTAAGGCTACATGTAAATGTAATTTCAAGTATGACTACAAACATTGCCTACACAAAAATCCCAGTTTTACAATAGTTAATATCTAACCCAAGTCTCAGTGCTTTTCTCAACCTGACAAGCATGCTGTTCTCAATCACAAGAAAATTATAAAAATTAGATGAGCTATCTCATTTTGTATATTTGTATATTATGGAATCAGTTCAGTAATCCATGGTCCACTGGAGAGTCTTGTGTAAGAAGTTTTAGTTAATAATATTGCAGAAATAAACTCCCCAGTTGTCCACTGAGAGATCTTAGAGATTCCAGACCACAAAACAAAACAAAACAAAAAATAAATATCTCCTCTTTTGCTAACCACAAAATAAGAACTCTATTTTTTTTTCTTTCCCACCAGCCCTAGCCCCAAACACACACACACACACACACACACACACACACACACATGCATGCGCTCACACGAGCTTTTAGTCAGTATCTATTCCTGTCAAGGTACCCCACCCCCCACAAAAAAAAAAAACAAGAAAGAGGAAACTCAAGAAGGTTTCTACTTTTGCTCTACACCCCACATTATTATTTACAGCAATTTCACGTATCTTTAAATTTCCACCATCAGAGATATTGGATGATTTATTCTGCCTGAACAAGGCATCCAACAGTATCATTATTCTTTAGGGATTTGACAGGACCTTAATAGATCCTAGCAGAAGGGAAAACTGCTGGCTCCAGTTGGTAGCTTTCAGTTTTGTTTTTGTTTTTCCTTCTGCTTTTCAGAGTCTTAAAAGTCTCTAACCTCCTAAAGATTGGTAAGGATTTTTATTTTTTAGTGACACCCTGGGTCTTCAGCTGAGCACATTCTTGTAATGTAGATCTCACATGGTAGTCTATCGGTAAGAAATTATTTTAGAAGTTTTGAAATAAGTTTCCATCTTATTCCAACTTACTTATAACTTTCCACTTATCCTTTCTAAAATTATTTACAGAATTTGACCGTAAAAAGCATATGCTATCATGACAAGTAGAAGGAAGCAAAGACATAAATCAGTGAGATAATGCTGTTCCTCTTACACAGAGTGTGTGTCAGTGCGCTTTTATTTTCTGAAAAGTTTTTGGTAGTTGAGCATTTTGCTTATCACAACAACATAATGGGGAAGTTTGTATATCTAAGAGAACATTCTGTTTCATATGGTTAAAAACTGCATCATAGGGGTGCCTGGGTGGCTCAGATGGTTAAGCATCTGCCTTCAGCTCAGGTCATGATCCCAGGGTCCTGGGATTGAGCCCCACATCGGGCTCCTGGCTCAGCAGGGAGCCTGGTTCTCCTTCTCCCTCTGCCTCTCTCCTGGCTCATGTTCTCTCTCTCTCTGTATCTCTGTGTCTCAAATGAATAAATAAAATCTTTAAAAAAAAAACAAACTGCATCATAAGAGGCATTCCCACAAAGGCAGGGGTGGGGAACCAGCTGCGGTTCTTTAATCTCATATTTCAGTGATATATTTGATAAAAGATTTATGCATGGAATAGAGCCATCGAGTAATTGTGTGTCAAAGGTAACTGTGGACCTTCTATTCATATCCTGGGCAAGGATCCTCAACACCAGTGTAGCTCTGCGTGCATTCTTTCTCATCCGTGGCACAGTCACTTAAAAGAAATACCCCTTCTTTATTCTCGCCATAATATAATGAGGAAAAGAGTTAGCCCTTAGGAGATTCAAATGGGTACATCTATTGACGTTGTGTTTTTCCTGTTTAGCTTGTGATTCCTCCTAAACCAAAGGATAGCCAGCAGTTTATTTAGTTTCTGTCCATATATAGCTTCCTCTTCCTTGAGACTCCACTTAATGTACGTTTTCCTGTAGAATGGCTATGGTTTTCTTTGCAGTGGATATGGCTTTAGCTTCCAACTGCTGTATTTAAACCACCGCTCCCTCTAATTTCATCTGTCATGTAAATGTGATGCTACAAAGTTGTCCTCTCCTTTTTTTAAATCTCAGAAGGGATTTATTTCCTTGGCTAGAAAAATCATCATCCAAAAGTCAGTACTACCTCCTTCAAGTGAGTACTGTCCCCCCATGGATAACTATCTCCTACTATTGGCTCTCACTGGAAGACAGTAATCACACTAAGAAGCTTTTTGTATGTGTGGCATTAAAATAATAGCCAAAATAAAATGTTTTATTATTTTATTCAAAGACAAATATATTCATTAAAAAAGAGCCTTTTAACAATATTTTATTGGTGAATGTAATGAATACAAATTAAATAAAATTTTTGGTATTGGTATTTGTACAACACTATATTATGTGCAAGGATCTACATGTCATAAAACTGAATTAAGAGTTGAGAGTAATACCTCTTGTGTGATAATTAGGTCTAGCCAGCAAACCTGCTCCCTACTACTCTAGCTTTCCCCAGGCATCAGTGATAATTATTTTGGGGCCCAGGTTGATTCCATTTCTATTTGTCCGTGAGAATCCACAATGGACCTGTCTGTATTTCCAGATCGAATGGGAAGTAGAAAGAAAAGTTGATCTTTCTATTGCATGGCCCTGGCCTTTAAGTCAGACCATGCTCTGGGACTGTAATAAAGAGTATGAATGATCAACTGAGTAATAAATGCTAATTTTCCTTTCTTGGCCTTACACCATTAGAGATGTCACGGGATTTCTCTAAAATTGCCCTCGGGGAGTTTTTTTAAACATGTATTTTTGAAGGTATTACTGAACTGTATCTACAGGAACCTTGTGTGCAGAGTCTGCAATCCAGAGAGTTTTGTGGTTTCGAGACATTGCTGCTTCTGATTGTTTCTGATCACGTGCCCTTCTTTAACTTCACCAAAAATGTTGGTTGGTTTCAATGAGAGTATTTTCTGTGGGAATTCCGGCCTTGAGACTATGTTCATTGTCCTCAGATGCTCTTCTGCCAGAGTTGATCTTCTGGGGTAATTCTGTGCACTTGAGGAAGTGGTTACAAAGGTCTAAATATTATGGGCATCTGAGATACAGCAGTGCTAGTGACTTCTTCCTGAGGTTGTCACGGTATAGGTTAGCAACCTGTTACCACAGTTGTGAGCTTTCTTATTAAAAGATTGCCTCTTTACCTGTCTTTGCACTTCCCTCAGTGGGGTCTATTTTAGCAAGTAATCTGATGTCAGCTTTCTGATTCTCTTTTTCTCCGCTGCAACAACAACAACAACAAAAATGGTAGCTTGTTCCGGACACTGAGTGGAGTCAGGGAAATTTGTTAGGAGCCAACTCTTATTTTGGCATTAACTAATATTGTGCCTGCATGTATTTTATTGAGCATTCCTAATGTGCACAGCACAAAGCTAGGTACTTGGGGAACATAAAAATAAAGGAGGAAAGGCTTTTGCCCTCAAGAAATTCATGTTTCCAAAAGAATTTATGTTGTAACTGAGTGGCCCAGTGAGAAAGTACAATGGAGGAAGTACTGGAATGTATTCTAAAGGGCACAGAGAGAGAAACATACCCATGCAGAGGGGGTCAAACGATAAAATGTTATTTGAATGTCATCTTAATCCTCATTATAAACCACTAAATTTGAATAGAATTTCTTCATTAGGTAAATGCAGTAAAGATAGGAATTAGAGGACTGCCACTGATTCCTTCTAACTCTATAAATATAGAAAGTAAACTTGAACCAATATAGTAATGTAACTTTCAAATGTCCCTTTAATCAGAGTCATATGTATCTTTAATGATATTTCTCAAGCTTGTTATGTTTATTTCAGACACTGAGTGGACTCATGGAAAATTGTTAGGAGCCGAAACTTATTTTCCATTCTAAAAGGAAAAGAAATATTGCAGATCTACAATGTTGACTTTAATTACTTTTATTTTAATGAAACATAAGTGTTCACAAATATAAAATATGCATAAACTTTGTGGAACTTTAAAGCCAAAAGACATATACGTTAAGTGAAAACTTTAAAAAATAACATTTAATTGAATGATATTAATGTGAGATTTTTGTTTTTCAGAAACCAAATCACCGGTATTGAGACCATTGTCAGTAGAAAGATACATTTGTACTTTTTGTTTCACTTGTGTTTGGCATGTATCTAATTTTGATTTTGTATCTAATGGTTCATCAGGTCCATTTGTGGCAATATTGTGGTCAACATTTTTCTTAACCAATAGCTTATTTTTATCTGCGATTTACCTACTAATTTTATTTTTATCTACTAATTCATTGTTTTGATGAGCCAATTCATGTAATACCCCCAATCACAATACTAAAGAAAAAATATATTATTAAATGTACCCTGTGATGATTCTACTGCTCCTTTTCTACTTGTAAACAATCATAAAACTTTTGTTTTTAGAATAAACCATAACATCTTTTGTGCTTTAGTTAACATAAATGCATAGTTTACTTTTTAAATCCATTTATTTTGTTTTCTCTTTAGCCTGTGGCAATTTATATATACATAACCTTGCCTCACTTCATCATTGTCATTATGCAAATCAATACTGCAAAAGAAAAGTTTTGTCTTTTTAACTGGTAAGAGAATTGTGTGTAAGTGGTAGACAAGGACTGCTGTTATCATACTTAACATCAAGGCCCTGCCAACCTCAGAGCCTGCTCACCAACACTTTGAAAGTTTCTCTCTGATCATTTGGCACCAATGTTTTATAAATACAAACATGGGAACTGAAGGCAAATGGCAGTGTTCAGTCATAAATGTTATTCAGATTATCCAACGTATGCCTACCTCAGTATTAGCAGTTTTGATCATCAATGTGAAAACACAGAATTTTTAAATTCCCCCAGAACTTGAGATTATGTCTATAGATTTCCAGTAGACAGGAACACAAGTTTGACAAATACTGGTCTATGGACTATTAGGCAAATACCTAATAACCAAGAAGTAGTTCCTGTTTGGTTTTGCTTTTCTTAGAAAAGATTGCGACATTTCTGAGGATATCTGCTGATGTTCTCTTCCTCAGCCTTGATCTGCTCTCTTGACAGTCAGTAAACCAATGCCCTCTGTTTTTATGTGAAAGGACTTTGTGGAATAGGAGTGGGTGTAAGGCCTAAACAGAATTCACTTAAGCAAATGGAACAGCTTAAATATTTTCATATAATACTAGAATTGACTTTCTCTTTTCCACTGCACCATGAACTCTTTGGGAAGGGAGCTAGGTCTTCTACCCTGTTGCATTCCAGTGTGTGATACTGTGCCCAGCACATAGTAGACACTAAGAAAATGTTTGCTGAAAGAATGAATGAATGTTGGTATAAGAAGGTACTTAGTCGTATGGTATGCATCAGGTGACATGCTCCAGTGTCTTGTTCCTGAAAGCGTATGACCCTTAGCTCATCAGTGCGATAAATTAGCTGGCCTGTAGAAAACTAGCCTCCACTTGCCTGTGGTATGTTCTGGCCTAAAGAGTCAGACCAATTCCTTTCACTGCCTAATATAGTTAATATCTGGAAAGTGATGAAAAGGTCCCCAGTTGGCATATTTCCTCTGGTGTCTTTCCCTTTCCTTAGCCTGTCATTCTTGTGACTCAGAAAGCTATCATCTTTTCCCTATTCCCAGGAAACCCACAGGCCACAGTCCAGAGTATGATATCTTTTTTATCACTCACCTCACTCTGTCTCGCTCCAGTTAGAGAAGTAGAGGAGAATGTGCATCCTGTTTGTCTTCTTGTTTGTTCTGTTTGCCTGACTCATTTTGATGATAGGGTATGGAGATAAACTGTATTTGTTGGAGATAGCTTTTGATTCTTCAAGATCAAAGCATGTTATTACTGACCCTTATAAGAGTATTTCTTTGGTTAAGTTATTGTTCATTTTTTCTCCAAGATAACTTTTCTCTAACTTAGCTTTTTTCAACCAACTTTCATATCTTCTACCAAAAAATCATTCATCAGATAATGGGCCCTGGTTTCCGTGATGTGCTTCAGACATGTGATTGTAACACTTGAGGGAAAATGTTCCACTTGGTTCGAGCCTTCAAACTGAAACAATTAAGCAGAAAGGCTGGCTTTTCCTTTCTGAACAATTTCTTTACATACGTGTCTAACATTCATTTCTTAGGTATGTGTATGTGTAACTCCTGGTAATGAAGGTCGGAAAAGAAAATTTGGCAATACCAAAGATTAGATGCTTCATATGCTAACATATTGTTTAAAATCAATCTAGCCAGAAGCAGCCAAACTCTTTATTTATTTATTTATTTATTTTTATTATGTTAATCACCATACATTACATCATTAGTTTTTTATAGTTTTTTTTTTTTTAAGATTTTATTTATTTGAGGGAGAGAATGAGCGAGAGAGAGCACAAGAGAGGGGAGGGCAGAGGGAGAAGCAGACTCCCCACTGAGCAGGGAGCCCATTGCGGGACTTGATCCTGGGACTCCAAGATCATGACCTGAGCCGAAGGCAGTCGCTTAACCAACTGAGCCACCCAGGTGCCCTACATCATTAGTTTTTGATGCAGTGTTCCATGATTCATTGTTTGCGTGTAACACCCAGTGCTCCATTCAGTACGTGCCCTCTTTAATACCCATCACCAGGCTAACCCATCCCCCACCCCCTCCCATCTAGAACTCTTTATCCCTCCTAGCAAACTGTGTGGCTGAGAGCAAATCAGTTGGCTTTTCTGTACATTATGGAGTTTTTCATCTCAACAGTTAAACCTTGCCTTCCACCTCATTGTCTTCAAGCTTGTAAATAATTAAGAAGAGATTTGGAATTTGGAAATATAAAATGCAGTAGAATTTTATGAAAATATCAAAAACAAGATGATCTAGAAAGAGGAACTAAATCTAAATATACTTATATCAAAGATTAATATTTTAATTCATAGTGTACAAAAATCAGACTATACTATAATTAGCACTTTGAGTAAAATTGCATAGTTGTGTTTATTCTTATGTACTTATCAAATGAAATGCTTTCAGTACCATAGTTTATATTCTTATTTTTTTCCTTATCTTATAAAAATGAATATGGTGTGCTTTGAAATAAAATCATGTAAATGAGGGGAAGCAACAGGGAAATTTTTATTAAAATTGTTTTCATATAATGATTTGAAAATAGCAGCATGATGATGACTCATCAAACAAAAAGAAAAACCTGGTGTTCTTACATATATCTATAGTAAAATGATGGTAGAAATTGCTCACATTGTGTTTGAAATGTGTACAAATAAGTATATATACATTTGCACAGGTATACACATAATCTATTCTACCAACTGTAGTAACTAAAAGTGTTTGAATTATTTCAAAGAGCCATATGCCTTTATAATGAATATGTATTGAATAGATACTATCTGCCTCCAAGTAGGAATATGCTCATCACACATAATTTAGAGGTATGCCCCCAGGAAAATAGATGACTATCCTTATACACTCACTTTTTGGAATAACAGGGAATCAGTCTGAATGACCTAAGTAGTTGCTTAGATTCAAGCCCACAACAGGCTTTACCTCAAAGCAGAGACCAAGTTGTTTTTCAGTGTTTTTAAAAATGGTGCCTAAGGCACTGAGTTATGTTTCAAAAGTCTACCACATATATTCTGAGCTGTTTCTTTGCTTGAATAGGGAGAAGATCCAATTTATCCGAACTGAAGGGACCCCAGGATTGGTGCGTCTTTCAAGTGATGCAGACCTTGTTATGTTGCTGAGGTATGGAACACCAGTTTTTGAAGTAGAAAGTCCTCTGTCGTCAGATATTATGGAGCGTTTTAGAAAATACGATGCCAGTATTAGTAACCTATGTCTCCATTATTCTTAAAGACTTGTGGAATACTCATTGGAAGATGTAGGATGCTGGTTTAGTGATAATTCATTTCAGATTGCATTTCTTATTCTGAGATCTGTTTGATTTTTTTTTTTTTATCCTGGTGATAAATGAGGTGGTATTGGAGAAGGGAAAGGTTAGTAGAGGCCAATGGATAGAATGTTCTACTCACAAAATGGAACACAAGGGTATACAGGGCTTACACAAGGGTATACAGGAGTAAAAGAGAGGTCATATTTATATTTTCCTTCAAATTCTTTCCTCCAAATGTGCTTTGTCTTTTTTTTTTGGTGATTTGACATGATTTTTTAAAATGATTTTGAGAGTTTAGGTTTGGGAAATTAGATCAGAAAGTTGAAATTTGATCACTGGTACTCATTGCCAACTTGACAGCCCTTCATAAAATTGGCCAGTTATATTTTCTTTCCTGATGGTTAGGTCAGCTTTGGTTTTAAATCTTAGAGTAATTTAGAGAGGAAACTGACAAGTTTTCAAAAGATTTTTCATTTTTAATATCATCCTTCAAATGTAGGAGGCCAGAATAAAATAATGCTTTGCTCTACCCAGTAGTTGGGACACCCACCCCTGTAACCTCCAAAGAATTAAAGGCAAAGTCATGCTGAACCAGACCACACAATGTTTTATTTATCCCAGAGTGCTAACAATCTCATTCATGATATTCATGATGAACTTGACCCTAACCATTTCTAACTGCCTACATGATAGTTGCCATACTTGTAAAACTGAAGTCAAAAAATTATCTTCCTTTACTGGATAATTGGAGCATAATTCAAAGGAATATAATCAGTTCCCACAGAGACCTTGCTTCACCTGATTCTGAACAAGACCTGTTGGGAAGCAGGGGTCACTTCTCAGTCTAAGGGGTGACCTATGACTATGTTGAACTGAACAAGTCCTGAAAACAGAATATAGTGTGCTACATGGTCAGGAAGACTATTGGTCAATTAATATGTAATATGATGTTTCTACCATAGTTTGGTTGGTAATAAAATAGTTTTGTTTATAAAATTCTGGCTAGGATAGGACTCTTTTGCTTCATTCTAGAAATCTAATGTTTTTCATTTAAACTGAAGAATTCTGCATTTGGAATTAATAAAAACAAAATGATTACAAAATAGAAATCATGATTATCAATCACCTATTCTTAGTTAAATAATCTTTAGATGGTATAGTCCTAAATATTTTAAGTTACAGTATAGCTTAGAATATTTGTACTTTGGTAAACACTGCAGTTTGCATGAGTTTCTATGTGTTATGTGGTTGAATTTGAAAATATTTGAGAACTGATATATATATATCAGTTTTAAGTATGTATATATGTGTGTATATATACACACACACACATACATATATATATACATATAAAGAACAAGGCTACATTTTCCCCCATTTGGGGAAAAAGCGTGTTCTCTGAAGTTAATGGGCCTTTGGAGAAGTGTGAGAAATTCATTTATTATATAATAGTTCTATAATTATTACATGCAAATGATGTTATTAAGTTCTAGACTTATTTTATTTAGATGATCAAATGTATTAAATTTAATAATTGTACATGGTGACACAATGTATAACATGTGGATGCTTAATAATGTTTAATAGTTATTGAAACACTTTCAGATGTCCTCAGTTCTTTATTTTTTATTTTACTTTGGAGTTTGAGTCATTTGAATCAGTGACTATAAACTCAAGCAATGAACTAGTTGCATACATAGTGAAAGACTTTGTATCTATTTTTATACTTTGTCTATTTCTTTTTTTTTTTTTTTTTTT